TGCAAAGCGAGCGCTCTACCGTTTGAGCTACGTCCCCTTTTGAGTTATGTCTCTTTTTTACCCATATTATGGAACAATATATTTTTCAAGTAATTAAAGCATTTTTTATAAATATATAATTTTATCTTCAAATGTATTAAAAGATTATTAAATTAAAATAAATATTTGTCTGACTAGTACTATGCAACTGATATGTCACGCGGTGGAGCACGCAGAGAAGGTTGGGGTAGTGCAGAAGCAACAGAGATGGTTTTGAACAATTTATTTTATATAACTGCCAAGGTAATATATATAAAATATAACATAATTACTGATAACAGCATGACAAGAGAAATTTTAATTATATTAATTTTAATTCATATTATTTCAATTTATATTATTTTTTAATATAGTTTTCGGACGAACATCCTAAAGAGACGGAGGAACTTTGGGCAACTCTATGTGGTTGTTGGCCTAACAATTTAAAAGTTATCATTCGTTATTTAATTATCGTCTCAGGAATGGCGCCACAAGAACTTCTTCCATACGTATGTCATTTTTTAAATCAGGAAATTCATTGCTTTTATCCCAGTTATTAAATTATTAACTCTATATTTCAGGCGAAACGCGTTGTCTTGTATTTAGCAAGGGCTCGGCCAGATCGTTTAGTCGATGAGATGATGACGGAATTGCAAACAGTGGAAACGTTGAATTGTTTAATCGAGAGAACTGAAACACCACCTTTCTATAGATTGACTAGTATGAGAAAAGCTTCTTCTCATAGCGATGCTCCAGTTGTTGATCCTGGAAATCCTCCGCGTGATCTGGGTGTTGAGAAGGGTACCATTCATACTAAAAGACATTCAGGCGAAGATCCTGTTAAAACCGGGTGAGATTTGTATTAGAGATGTATTTTTCTAATGGCTTGTTTAATTCGTGAATGTTCTGTTTTATAGTTCGAAATCGGATACTGCATTACGGGCACTCGCTGGATTTCAAACCCCAAGGGCGGAAAAAACAAGGACTGCGAGCGGTCCGCCAGTTCTTCCGGATGATTTGTCCACTCCTACAACAGAAGCCGAGGTTCATTAACTTCTTTATCGATTCTATATTCCGATCCAATTTACGATTTTCTTTTACCTATGTTTCACATTTGATTTCAGTTGACTACAGACGAATCTTGTTACGGCACACGGAATGGATCTGTAGGAGTAAATGGCAAAATTTCATGTAATGGAGAAAAGTTCGATATTCCACAGCCTCATCCTTTACCAATGCCTGAGTACGGTGGATATTTTGCTCCTTTGACGGAATACTTACCAGATAGCTCACAGCCAATAAGTGGATTCCATAGGTAAGAAATGTTACATACAGTTATACCTATACTTTATATAGAATGATTTTTATAGATAGAGATTTAAAAAAAAAATCATCTTATAGAATACTCAAAATATTCCTATTGATGTTGAATGATATGATTATAAATTTCAGATGCAACATTGCCGTTATGTTGCTCACTGACGTTGTTGTCGATGGCATACAACTTGACTGGGCTATCCATGTTCCTTTAATGTTGCATATAGTTTTCCTTGGCTTGGACCATTCAAGACCTCTCGTAAGGGATCATTGTCGTTGTCTTTTATTAAATCTGTTGGTTGTTCTCGGGGATCATCGAGATCATCTCGGCGTAGCACGAGTACTGTTAGCATCAAAAACTGAACAATTGGGCTTAGGTCTCTCTACTCCAGCTTTACCAATATTCGAGCACAATTTCACTGAGGTTGATCCAGAATTTGACAGTTATCTGTACGGTCCACCTCCAGCACCACCTCCTACAACGCCTCCCCCGTCATCTTCACCGCCACCACCATCTTCTTCTCCTCCTCCACCACCATCACCTCCACCGCCACCACCTCCACCGCCTCCGCTACCTGAATCCTCCATATTCAATGCAGCACCTCCGCCGCCGCCACCTCCACCTCCTCCACCACCATTTCCATCTTCTAATAATGGAACACCTATTCATTCGCCTATTCCTAACTCAACATCTACTCCTCCATTATCGATGAATCACATGAATCAATCAGTTATGGACAACTATAACAAAGATTATTCAAATTCTCATGCATATGGTGAGGAGTTAATATTCTTTATGACTATATATGTATTATTGATGATATAAGAAACTAATACAATAATATTGATTTTATAGAGTCATCAACATGCAACAATTGGCCTCCAACGTCAAATTCAGCGAATACAGTACCGCCTGTTATTGTCACACCAGAAGATGCAAATAACTGGGTTGGACCACAACCAGGTCCGAATATGCCCATCCAAGATGTAATTAAATCTTTGATCAATTTTTTGGCTTCTCGGTATGTTTATAAATAGATATATTTATGTAACTATTTTTATAAAATTTAAAGCTTGAAAAATATTTTTTTTTTTTGTGTGTGTGTAGTATAAATCAACCATTATGGAACTATGAAGACATGACTGCCAAAGTATGGTGGGTTCGCAGTGCTGAACAATTAACAGTATTATTGCGACATGTATTAAGAGTTTTTAGAGATTCCTTACCCCACGCTCTGGTTAGTCAACGTTGGGCACAAACTGCATTACAATTAGGCCTATCTTGTTCATCAAGACATTATGCAGGAAGATCTCTTCAAGTATTTAGAGCATTACGAGTTCCTATTACATCTCGAATGTTATCTGATATTTTGTCTAGATTAGTAGAAACAGTTGCCGAGCAAGGAGAAGACATGCAGGTGCACGATGTGTCTTTTTTCTTTGTAAATATAAACATTTATGAATATTTTTATAATAACTACAACTTTAATTTGTTTGTTTGTAATAGGGGTATGTGACTGAATTATTATTAACACTTGAAGCAGCTGTCGATTCGCTAGAATCCGATTTCCGACCTTTAGATTTTATGAAAGAAATATTTAAGTCTACACCGAATCTAAATAATAAAGATCCAGCTTCGGGTGGATTAATTGGAGGAAAACGAAGTCCAGGAGGAGGTAATGGATATCCAGCGGGTCCACATATATTCTCTCACTTAAATCAAGGTGGTCATACAAGAAGTACTAGTTACTCAGTCAGTTATTGCATGAAAAAATCAAGTGGCGGTAACTCAGTAGCAAGTGAAATAAAAGGTTTGTGATATTTACACATGTTAATAACTATTTTGTTGATAAATTATAATATACTTAATGTTTTTTTATAGAATTAGATAACAGATGTAATAAGTATCCCAATTCTAATCTTTCGCGATCAAGATCGGCTCAATCTTTAAAACTATTGGGTGATTCAGCAACACAAGATGATAAAATGACTATTTTGGCGCAACTATTTTGGTTATCGGTGTCTTTACTTGAATCAGACTATGAACATGAATTTCTTTTGGCATTGAGGCTACTTAGTCGTGTACTCCACAGATTACCTTTAGATCGACCAGACGCTAGAGATAAAGTTGAAAAATTACAACAACAATTAAGATGGAATTCGTTCCCTGGTGTACATGCATTATTATTAAAGGGATGTACTAGCCCCAATACATATGAACCCGTCGTAACATTATTATCTCAGTTTACTCCATTATTGGATTTGCCAGTTGTCGATCCTACTCAAAGTCTCGCATTTCCGATGAACGTTGTATCACTACTTCCCTATATGCTTTTAAATTATGAAGATGCTAATGAATTGTGTATTAGAAGTGCAGAAAATATTGCACAAGTAAGTATTGTTTTACATCATAATGAATTCATATATACTTCTATTTATAAGCAGGGTTGCAATATATTTTCATTCATAGGTGAGTGCCGAAAAAGGGAAGAAATTGGAAAACTTGGGCACTGTCATGACATTATACAGTCGACGTACTTTTAGTAAAGAAAGTTTTCAGTGGACTAAATGCGTTGTTAAATATTTGTATGACACATATGCTCATCTCAGTTTTAATATGCTTGCTTTCCTAGTTGAAGTATTGGAGAAAGGTCCAGGAAGTGTTGCATTACCTGTGCTTAGTATTATACACTGTATGTTACATTATGTTGATTTAGCTTCGCAAGCAGCGCAACCAATCAACACTGAACTTCTGAGAGTGATTTCAAAATATGTTGAGGTATGATTGAAAATCCATTTCAAACAGGGTAATGAAATAACATTCTTATATAATATCTTATATATTCTTACATATAATCGATTTATATATAATTATAATTTATAATAATTTAATGCTAGGGTCCTCATTGGAAAGAAGCTCTTAAAATATTGAAACTAGTAGTAACAAGATCGTCTACATTAGTAGCACCACCTACGTCAGTGCATGGATCATCTTGGGAGTCTTCAATAGCATCTCCGCATCCAAGCTTCACTGATACCGAGATGTTTACAAAAAAAGAATTACCTGGTAAAATGCTACTCTTTAACATTTAGTAATATCCTTTGCATGGATGTGAATGCCAAAAATTATTAAGCTTTGTTTTTCCTCTTACAATGCGGAACACGCTCACTGCATGGATTGCTTATCTGATGATGTTCAGGTTGCGACAAAAATAATAATAATAATAAATTATAAATTGTTCACGAAATATAATTATTATTTTTTTAATTAAAATTAAATTCTATTAATATCATATACATAGCTTGCTTTAAATGATCCTAAATTTTTTCTGTTCTTCTCTTTCTTAATTTTTACTTTATACTTTATTTTATATTTTAATAAACACTATTTTTTCAAATATATTTTTCTAGGAAAGGTAAAAAGTATTTGTTAAATTATATTATTTAGTGTCGTACTTAATTTTTTCTAATTTTAATCTTAAGTTCTTTATCATGAAATTTAATTAATACATTTTGTTGGTAAATAGGGAGGACTATGGATTTCACGTTTGATTTATCACAAACACCGGTAATCGGTAGACGGTGGTTAATACGTCAAGGTGTCGAAGAAAAATCACTCAGTTCTCCTCGATGTTCATTATCTCTTTCACCAGCTGACAGTAATGCGGTTTCTGGTTGGAAAAGACCATGGATGTCACAGGTTAGATAGAAATTATTAAGTAATATGAAATAGATGAAAGCAACATTTTACATAAAATTTATATTTCAGGGTCGCGTTAGAGAATGTTTGGTAAATCTTCTAACAACATGTGGTCAACGAGTTGGATTGCCAAAGAGTCCATCTGTAAGTTTATATTGGATAGAAAATTTTTTTAATGTTTTTTAAAAAAAAAAACTTGTTTGTGTTATATATTTCTTTCCAATAGCTTTCCATCAAAAATCATTTCTTTTAACTGACTCTGGTTATGTACCCCTTTTTAGGATGAACACATTAGTTCAATGACATTATATAGCAAGGTAACAGGTTTTTTTAAATGCAGTTTGCACTCGTACAAACAGATTAAAAAAATATTTGTTTATTTTCATATGTGATGTCCTATCAATACAACTATATTCACGCTTTAATATGCTTCGTGCAAATATGTAACTTGCACAAAATTTTATAAATGAAGAAAAGTTGTTCTAATATTTGTAGGGTTATCTATGTACAGTAGATTTTTGTGTAGCATGTTAATTGTATGAAAAATGGCGTATCAGGATACAACGTACAGTGTACATGTGCATCATTACAGTTATGGCTATATCAGTTGAAATGAGACATATGAAAAATTCGGTATTCAACACGTACATGCACAATAATTGCTAAAGTTCACAGCATTGTCACATAGTAAAGACAAAAAATTAAGATATGTCTGATAAACGCTATATTATTGTTTTTTCTATGTTCCTTTTTATTAATTAATGGTAAATATTTGTAATACAGGTAATATTCAGTCAAAGTTCGGATCTAATGGAAAGACAATCATCAATGGCTTCTTCAACGGAAGAAGTTTCTGGTGCAAATAACGATTTAAGTGGAGGATCAAGAAGAGATGACGAACAATTTGGCGTATTTAAAGACTTCGATTTTCTTGAATATGAAAGTGAAAGCGTTGAAGTGAGTATTTATTTTAGATATAAATACATTTATCTATATATTGCTGACGTAAAGATAAAAAAATTATTTATGTATTATAGGGTGAAAGTACCGATAATTTCAATTGGGGAGTAAGACGTCGTCCTCTTAGCGAAGGAGAAGAAAGAGAACCAAGTCTAAGACAATTTGAAGAAAGTTTAAGTGAAAAGACTCAGTCATCTAGCAAACACACCAGTCGAGTAAATAAATAAATTTATTTTCAATAATGTAAATAAACTAATAAGAACAACTGAATATGTAATATCAAAATTATAGCGTGGCGTTGCGGAAGAATCGTCAGATGATGAAGCTGGTTCAGAATCACCATTAGATGAAGTACCTGGTGGATCTGGAGCAGGACAGGAAGTAAATAATATTCCTGGAATGTTCCCACCATCTTCCTTATCTTTAATACCTACTCGTACACGTCATGATTCTTCAACAAGGTCTGACACATCGTAAGTTTCTTATTAAACCAAAAAAAATTTCGTTGTATTGATGTTTGTTCATGTTTCATGTACAGTGGCTCTAGCGCAGGAGATTTAGGAGATGTAACACCTTGTAATGCATCACCAAATTTATCAGCATTAATGCCTTTTAGACAGATTGCAAGGGATGACGCGGAAGAAATTTGGCGGCAACAAATTCAAAATTTAATCACGCAGTCTCTTTACAATACTTTAGATTTTTTCCAATTATTGAGTAGAATACTACGGGTAACTATATTATTTATTTAAGTTATATCTTAATATCTTACATATAATATCTTATATTATTATCAGGATGTAAGCAGTAAATCGGTTACTCTTACAAGAGAAGCTAGTGCCTTATTGTGTAACGGCAGTCCTGCTTCCACTCAATTAGGCTATCATTTATCTAGTCATGCAGAATTACTTAGTTCAAAAGCTGAACCACCTTTAATTTGGTTCTCGATTGCTATTTTCGCAAATCAAAGATTAAATGAATCATTGCGATTTGGAATGTTAGAAATTCAAGAACATCTTGAAACATTTCTTGATAAAAAAGATCATGCTACCGAAGTAAGTAATTGCTTATTAAATATAATTATTACATATAATTATTACTAATATATCTTTGACAGTGTTTGGAAGCAGCCAAAGCAGCCGCAAAACTTCAAGCATTAGGTGGAAGTCACACCACAGAGGCAGGTCTCGAAGAGATGCTCTTAGACCTAGGCAGAGCACTCTATAAACTTCATCTTCAATTATTATTGTTAATCGAAGCTTCAAATAAGATGCTAGCTACTCTCATGAGCGCTGCAAGAAACGTACAGATTCCACTTCAAGACATATCCGCAGAAATTGCGAATATGAAAATTGCTTTGAGTAGAGCACTTGAAGAAAGTACAGAGAGTGAAAGAGGGACACCGACTCCAACGCCTAGTCCTAGTCCTTTGCCCGGCACTGGTGCCGTGGAAGAAGTTGCTCGTGTTGCAGAACTACTTAGAAACGCACGATGGTGCCCTGCTCTTGAAGCTGTAAGACTGCATAGAGCTCAATGGCCAGGAGATCCTTTTCATGATGATGATGATGTAACGACTGCTGTTAATATGTATTGCAAATACCTGGGACAAGATAGATCTGGTAAAATATATTGAATCATGCACTAAATTATCTTAAAATAAATGTATCATTTAAAATTGTCAAATATTTTTCAGATATTTTTGTGGTTACACGAAAGGACGATGAAATGTCAGAAATATTTAGTAGACTAATGGAAAGTTTATTTCAAGTTTTAGCGGCTGTTACAGGCTTAGAAGCTTCAACAAAGGCAGTACGAAGTCAACATGATCATCCTAATAATACGAAAAATGACTGTTAATTTAACATAAATTTTAATGTTATATTATATTGTAGACAGTTATTTGTCTAAATTCAAGTCTTCATATAATTTAATTATACCGTGCGTTTTACCCATGTATCTTGTATACAACTATAGACGTATGTATGTATATCGCGAAATAATCGTCATAAATGTGTAGAAAAAAATACGCACGAGCGGAAGCACGAAATCGTCGATTTTGTCGTTCTTTTTTTTTAACACAAACGTAATGATGTGTATAAATTCGACGAAATAAATTTTTGAAAACTCGAAGAAACTATCCCTTTCTACAGCTTTCATATCCTGTAAATATGCTTCTACATAAACACTCAGTATATAGTATTCACCGTGAATCAGATGATCATTTGTATCAATGTTATCGTACTGTAACAGATTTTATTAAAAGATTCATCAATCACATAATGCTAAATGCGTTCAAAATAATCGATAACTTGGTTTGTAAAAAAAATTCTTTCCATTAAGTTTTACAATGTTGAAATTTTCAAATACAAAATTTAACAGGGTGATCTTACTTCTGATGATGTAACCGGTATGACTACGCGAAAATTAGGTTGCTTCGGTAACGAATGGGCTACCTGTGGTTGCTTCAATGCACGAAATGGGCTAGAAACTGTGATAAATGAAATGGAATCATGGAATGCATTATCAGTAAAATTTCGATACAAATTTTTATAATAAATCTTTAGACGAATATTTTTATCCAGTGTTCCTGTAGGCTTTGAAGGATTGGATGTTCCATGTTAATTTTATGGGCCTTCGACGTAAAAATTGTGTTGAAATTTATATGTATCAAGTTCTTTGGAGTGTACCTACTCCAGCATATCCCGAACCTCAAGTCACAGTCAGTGTACATTTCTATATAGCAACAAGTCACATTTATCCATCTCATTTTCCCGTCGATGTGAGTCACTTTTACTACGTATAACAATCAAATAAATTTAATGTTATACTTGTCCATTACAGGTTTCATACGTTTTCGAAGGACATCAGTTTACACATACTTTAAATATGATTTTCAGACCTAAATGGCTTTATGATATTTTAGATATGAAAACAATGATGTTCAAGACTTTCAATTTTTAATATTATACATGAATTATTTTTCACTATATATTATTCTTAAAGTCCAATTGATTTCGAATTTAATTTACATATGAACACGTATAGCGTTTAGCAAAGGTAAACAATAACGAGTTTAAGAGGCATATGCAAAGTATCGTAAAAGTAAGGGTGTCGTATTCGTCCAAAATGAACACAGGCCTGGTGCACACTAGTGGTGGCAGACGTCGGTTTGTCAATTGGTCAAGCAGTAAAAGCAGGTGACAACTGCAAAGGAAAATACAACAGCAGTTGTTTTTCAGCTTGACTTACACCGCTTGCAACTACTGATCAACATTAATCTTATTGTTATAATATAATGTTTCCAATTTCCAATTTCCACCAACTTCGATCTATTCTTATCAATTCTCACATGTTGTCCATCACCATTTTTTATGTTATCCATTTTACAAAAAAGAGAACTGACTCTCCCACAGAGTATATGCAGAGCACTTGTCGCTTTGAAAGGATCTATTTAAATTTCCATCGAGTACAAGGAGGTGTAAACCGTGCGTTGGTCTTTCGAACGGTTCTTTTTTTTTTGTTTTTTCTTTTTCTTTCTTTTTTTTTTTTTTTT